GAGTCGTCCGATATAAGGTCATCACCGCAACTCCATCTCCCGACAAAACAGGTCTCCCTTGTCCGCATGTCCATAGTTAGCAATCACGTGACCTGTAAATTCCCGAACGCCTATCGCTTGCTGTCGCTAAACGCCGCTCATTTATAGCGCCTTTATTGCAAATAAACGTCGTTCTATTTATTATGATGCTTTCATAATATTCCTCCTAAGCTGTACTTACAACATTATGTGTGTCGGTACTTCCGAAAACATTGCAACGGTGTTTGTTTTCTGGGAACCTATAATCTGACAACCTTTACAACAACTTCCGGATCCCGTGAAACTCAATATTTCGTGACGTCAATTTTCAGTCGTCATTATAATGGTGAGGTAAGTACCGTAAATCGCGAAGCAGTCTACTAGACGTTCGCTTCAACTGGTGTCTTGGAAGTTTGAGTCTGCTGAGCGTGCATTCCTGCAGAAGAATTTTTCATTGCCAAAATATTGACACGTCAATCAACAATTGATTAATTCTTTGTAAGACTTATTGGGAAAACCCGCGGCACCCGCCGAACCGCACGTCACTATATCAGATAATAAGTATTACCCAGCCTGGCATTTTCGCACACATGAGTTTCTTGGGCCACGCTATTGAGCCAGCTGAGCACAGCTGGCAGCGGCGCGTGCAATGCCACGATGGTAACGTGATTGTGCTCGAGCCATGCCACCATGAACCAATGTTTCGGCCACCCCACGGGTGCGTGTTGCCATCTATTGGTTGAACTAAGGCTTTGTTCAAGATGGCTGCAGTGGGACCGCAGCCTTAATTGTCTCTGATCTTGGCTTTTTGTAACTGAACGCAACATATTTGAGACACCTGAAGCATTTTGTACACTAAGAAATAGGGGGTGTGTAGGGGTACACCCCTTGTCCCATATGTAATATCCCAAAACAACAATTCTGCATTCAGTCCACAGACGTCGAACCGATGATGCCAACTTTCAAGAGCCGCTCGACCGTCAACCAATACAACTTATTAAAATAGCTAATGTACGCAATAAAGGCAAGGCAGTAAGGCAATCAAGGTTTCTTGGCTCGGTTGTAAAACCTCAGTGTTTTTTTTTCTAGTTTTTGGTACACACATTAGCTATTTAAGACGTTATATTATACAGCTATCAAGCCGCTCGTAAAAGTTGGTATTGCCTGCTTGATGTCAGTGGACTGAACGTCCAAATGTAGTTTTGGGGTGTTACATATGGGACAAGGGGCGTACCCATATACACCCCTATTTCTAAGAGTGCAGATTGAACTTGGAGCAACTGCTTTCACTTATTTTATTTGTGATAAATGTGATATTGCAAACTGGTGCCATTTGCAACCCAAGTAGTACCACTTGAAGCTCATGTGGCACCATTTGGAACCCAAGTGGTACCACTAGAGGCCCAAGTGGTACCGCTTGAGGTCCAAGTGGTACCACTTAAAGCCCAAGTGGTACCATTTGGCTTGCAAGCGGCACCACTTCACTTGCAAGTGGTACCACTTAAAAGCAATTGGTAACAGTTGAAATACCACTTTATATTTTCACCTGGGAGTCTTCTCGATCTCTATATTGATATTCGCTGGCCGATAGAACGCCACATCTCGCGTTCCATCAACACTCCTGCGTTGTCTCGACACCTCCTTCTGAAATAATAAAAGTAGCCTGAACTTGACTGGATCTTGTGGCGTTGACCACAGGGTCCCGAGGGTGGCTCCTCCCAGCTTGCTCTCATGATCGCTTAGCTTTAGCGACTTTCTAGGCTTGACGACGACCTGGTATTTGTAGTCCTGCTGGCTGGGAAATCGTGGAGTAGTTTTGGGTACCGCCGGCTTTTTACGCCTAACCCGGGTGGGGCTTGCTGTTTCCGGCGCAGTGGGTTGGCGTTCTTATGGTAGGCTCTGAGTCAGCCGTTATCGCTCGACCAGTCGTTCTGATCTTTAGGCTGTTCCCTTTTACCCTCCTGCCGCTGCTGCTGCTGTTGCGAAGGCTCGATGGAGCTGTACTTCATCGCAGTGGGATCAAATCCTCTTATCGACGTCGACGTCAATTGGCGGGAGAAAAGGGTGGTTTTCTAGCTAAAACCTCAGCTTAGGCTGAGCTATTCCTCTCCATTTTTCGGGCCGGCGAGACGTACAATTGCGCCAGGCCTAACTAGACCTAGCGCATCTCTAGGGCGGTGAAGAATTTCAGAGTTCCATATCCCAAAAAACGTCAGACTAACCGGGGTAATGATGATGTCAAACGAATTCATACAGCCTAAAAGTAACCGTATTCACGTTTTTGCATCGCAGTAGGTCTTAAAACCGCTGAGATTTCAAATTTTTAACGGAGCAGAAATGAATAGCACCCAATTCCGACAACGACGTCGTCTTTCCACATTGTTTATGTCGTCAAACCAAGATAAAGGGCCTTAGAGCGATAATCTAACTGCTGAAAGTTACCCCCGATTCGCCGTCACCATGTTGCAAAGTTTTGACCACTAGACACGTGACCTGATAGCTCTACGTCCAGAGTTTAACCAAGTACAGTGCACAAATAATTTCTTATTGATCTTTAATAACAGTACCGACGAGGTAAGTTATATTTCGTTGGTTTTAAGTTCAAAGTGTGCTTTTACGACCAAATGTCAGGCATCTTCGCAATGCCGCCAGCCGCTGTGCTGTATTTGGGTTTTTTTATCGGAGCTAGGCACTGACGTCTTGCGCTAACAGTATTGAAAAAAAAAAAAAAAGTTTATTGTGTTTTTTTGCAGCGACCGCAATACAAATATCGGCTCAGTTTATCGTAAAGGCCTCGGGATTTGGTACGGTCACGTGTCTAGAGGTCAAAGTCGCGGCAGCGAAACGAGGGTCACTTTTGCCTAGTGAACGGGATACCAGTTTATCGCTCCATGCCTCTCGACTCCGTTGCGTTAGATGCAACTTAGAAAGAAAAAGAGGGGGCGCTCTAGATTTCGCCCAGTGCTTACAAAACTATGCACTTTTTCTCGGCTCTCATTGACTGAAAAGATGATTGGCGTTTGAAATGTTCGTCGTAAAATCGTTTCTCCGTGCCCTAATAGTTTTTATATCAACAATAATTTTACGATTGAGAAATATTACCTAGATAAAGTCATTACTGTTTTCAGAAATACCCCGAGATTGCCGTTCCACTTCGGCTTTATGCGATAGCAAACATGACTGCGGCGTTTGTGGCAAGCTCGACGAGCTAGGAACAACTGTCGGTAGTACGCGCCTTCGGAAGCGCTGTGCGGGTGCTTGGGTTCGCAGCGGCACATACCTAAGACTTGCGTCCCACGTCAGCCATATTGCTCAATCTGGCTTGATTTGTTGCTTTGAGCGTGTTGGTGCTGAATAAAGATTCTGGTTCACGTAAAAGTTACCCCGCTGCTCTGTGAATTGTGCAACATTTATGATTGCCACAATGGTTTAATACCGAGAGGATACCTACACAGGTAAAGATTTACAAGCCATTTATCTAGAGTCAATCGGGCGATCGGCTCGCATCAAGTTTGTCTAGGTATGTTACCGTCATTTCACTTCAAAATGCAAGTAGCTCCTAAGTTTTGCAGTGCTACTGGCCTACCAAAGGGAACATATTAAGGTCCCGTTTTGGTAGTGCGTCATGACGCTTACCCACCTTGCTGGCGGATTCCGCGTGAAAAAAAAAAATAACAAAGCTAGTAAAGCTGAAAGGAATGCATTTTTATATATCTTAGTCTTCTCGGTCGCTTATTACCGCACATCGATGGACGCCGACAGACGCTCGTATTAAACCGTGATTCGTGCATCATAGAAGGCCAGAGCTCCGCTTTCACGGTTCCGCGTTCTGAGCTGTTGCAGACGTTTTAAGACGGGGGCGGAACAGCAGACGGGCGGAGGCAAAAGCGTGCGCCGACACGCAGCATTCGTGTCCGCGTCTCACAGGTATTGCAGACGACAATGGACCTTTTCCGAGAAGCGTTCTGCGCACGCGCGAGCGCCCGATGCCAAGCGGTGGAAGTCGGCACGAAAAAATCGAGGAAATTCGGAATGAGGCTGTAAATCGACGAGTAGAACACGTAATTGCAGCATATATATAATTGTGTTACACAAAAAAAGAAAGTGGACGGAAAGAAAAACACGACGTTTGGGTGGACGCTACGGATTTCCTTCTTTAAAGTCGCGCTAGGCCTACCTCGTTGCGTTGGGCACGCGACGCTGCTCGGAGAGCGAAGCAACTGGTAACGTAGCTCCCATTATCGATGGTAGCGCAGGTAGGTCACTTCCTTGATTTTTAGTTCGTGCAGCCACCGCCTGGTGCCGTCGGTATTTGGAAAAGGTCCATTGAGAGTGGTGAAATAGCAGACGATGCCGGAAGCCTGCGCATATCTGCTCGCACGACTAGCAGGCGGTGTCAGACACCAGACTAGGAGCACCAGATATTGCGAAAGGGAGACACTAGGCTTGTTAGCGTGATTAGCCGAGCACCCAAGCCAATCTAGTAGTAATGGGCAGGGCCACTGATCTTTGGGCGGTACTTAAAGAGTGCGGTTACCTCCATATAAATTGCGTCTCATGGCGTAAATGTCGCGCGCAAACATTTTTTATATTTCGTGGAAAAATTATTTAAAAATGCGTGTCCCATCCATACCCTTTAAAAAGCGTTTCCTTTTCGTTTTAGTGTCCCTTTTGGGCTTCAGGATAAACAGGCTGTACGTGATTAAATTTTAGACCTACGACACCCACTTTGCAGTGATAAATGTATCTTGGGCGAAACTGTCTGTACAGGACCCCCCAATGAGACGGAAACTGATAATTAATGAGTAGACTATATGGCGTTTCTATTTGCATATGTTTCTATATACTGAGTTCAAATAGACGACAATCGGTTATACAACAAGAAGCAATTCACCACCTTTTTTGTCACAGGTTATAAAACATCATGCTTTCGATGGCTACTAATTTAATATTTGTAACGCAAAATCGTGGTAGGACTTTGAGTACAACACTTCAGTTTCGTTCATGTTGCCTGGATTTAAACCTCGTACTTCGGGAATGAAGAGGCTTCGTCATTCGACGGCAGAATAAAGCGCCACAAATCCGCTGTCTGTAGTGCTGCCATCCGTGTGAAACCGGAGCAGCAAGGAGTTCGATGATGAGGTGATCTCGCTTGGTAGCTGTTGAGAGTAAGAAGAGAAAAAAAACTAAGACGAGGGACTTATACAAGGGGATGGAGGAGAAAGTTTGTGTTGTTTCGACACCACTCTAAATTTCCCCACGCGCCTAATTTCGTTCTTGGTCAGCGTATAGTCAATTACTGCGGTGAAGAGATACAATAGAGAAACAAACGGTGTGATTATGACACTTTTTAAAAATACCACTTGCCCTTAGAGTCAGCCCCGGACGACTTTCCCAATAATGTTTTTCAGATTGCATGTTCTTTTGTGGAGACATCATCGACGCAACTCACTGGTCTCTGTAGAGCACTGATTGATACTGCGCACTTTGCATGAATGGCGGATATTATAATTTTGCTTTAGGTACTGGCAAGGACAAGCGATAAAATACTAAATCGTATTTTGAATTGTTTGTATAGATAAACTTTGTTAGTGCTGCAGCGTCCGAGTGCAAGGAAAAGACAAGCGATTTCGTCCTAAGATAATACTTGGACCTCGACTGGTTATTCAGCTAAAGTTTACTTAATAGGAATATATGTAAACAAACTATCGTACAAATCTTAACTTCACCTTGTCCCGTAATTGTATATTTATGAAGTGACACGCATACTTCCCAAGAGTTACCGATATAATGATGAAAAAAATGAAACAATATTGTCTGATGTGTACCTTTGACAAAGAGAACTTGGGTATGCTTACATGTTGCCCTTGAAATACTACAAAAACATTTTTTTTAAATTTCTTTTACTCAAACGTTCTCTGCACCTTATATCGGGGCATCCGTGTAAAGCAGGAAGCTAATCAGGCAAGGCAGAGCTGCGTTTATAAATATACATACTGTATGTGCAAAAAATGCGTGCACTGTCAGAGGTTCTAGTCTTATACAGAAACTTTTATACGATACTTAGAGCCGTGACCACTTTTCATCGGGTAAAACGTACAGCTCGTAATTGTCTTGAGCCCTGAGGCAAAAGTAGGAATGGAGCAAAAGTTTTAAAGATAAAGCAAAACAAAACAAGAGACGCGAGTGAACAAATACGTGCATAAGACTTGAACACACACACACGCGCATGTTCGCGTCAATTTAACCATGCTCTAACACGCATGCATTCACTGAATGACTAACGCACACCAGACGGAAACACAGAAGCGTCGCTCGAAACACAAAGAACAAAGCATACAAACCACACCACAACGTTGAAGGAAGCGAAATGTCTACGCCAGGGAAGGGAGACAGACGAATATGTCCTTCCCGAGCACGAGCATTTGCACCATACTTCATGAAAGCCCACTTTACACGAATAGCTATACTAGTTATCTTTCTATGGGGAACATCTTTCTCTAAATATTTTATCACCTACACACACTCCTCCCTATGTAAGGCTTATGCGAACTACCCTATCTTGGAAATAAAAGTGCCTTGCTGTCGTGCGGGCAAGTAGCAGATTTTATCCCTACCACTATAACCGGGACTTCGATGAAGTCATTGAATATACAGGTCTTTTGGCTAACCTCCGTAAAGAGAGAAAAGGATATTCTTTAAAGGCCGGCCCGCAAGCAGAGAGAAGGAAACCGACCCTCACTTTCCTTCTCGCCACTGTGAAAGGAGGAAATCGCCTCTCGTTTCCTCCTCGCCGTTTTCCGATCTTTTTTTTTTTTTTTGCCAGCTGCCTGGTTTTTTTTTTGTTTTTTTTTTTGTTTTTTTACAAGTTTGGGGTGGAGGAAATGAAAGCTTCGAGGATTTTAAAAGATTATCCAGAAGCCAGCCGGCACACCTGCGACAAGGAGCTGAACCAACCGAGTAGCTGTTTTGAGCGAGCTTGGCACTTGCTCTTCCCAACCAGTTGCATTGGCTCTTCTTTAGCATTGGTTTGGAAGACGATTCTTTGCTGTTGTGAGAGCACAAATGCCTTGTTCTGCTCAAAGAAGTAGTCATTGAAGCATCAATTTTAATATAAATATCTGATTCGGCACCTTTCGTTGTTTAGGCGGATTCATGGCAACAACGGGAAGTACGAGCGGCGTTTTCTGTATATCAGGGATGGCGCTCCATAGACCAGTGGTTCTGAATCATCATGGTTCGTAAACCGGCAGAGGTGACGGAGGATCCCATCCGTAGTGGGTCTAGCACTTTTCGGTGTAGAGCGTTTTGCTGTAGGGCATTTCGGTGAGGACTTTTTGGTGCACAGACATTTCAGTGTACGGACTCTTTGCTGCAAAGACTTCTCGGTGTGGGACTTTTCGGTGCGCGGATATTTCGGTGCACGAACATTTTGATGCATGGACATTCGACGCTATGGTTTGCTCGCCGGTATCTCTTTTACAACGTACGAAGACACGCTTCACATGGTGTTTGCGGGTTGAGTTGATAGAGATAGTCTCCTCTATAAGGTTTTGGCTTTATTACTGTCCTGCGTGTAGGAAAGGACCCAAACAGGAAGACGTTTGAAGTCGTTTGTGTATTCAGAACAATTTCGAATATCTTCAAATGCGCTTCCTCCGCGCAATCGCATAGCTCCGATTGTTATTAATAAATTGCGATGACCTCGCACGACAAAAAAACAATGTAATTATCACTTGTAACTCATTAGGGAATAAAGTAGGCGTGTACGGGTACAAAATAAGTGTAATCAAATCAAATATTGATTTGAAGCAAGTAAACAAGTCGAATTTCGTGAATGCTAAATCTATTTTATTTGGTATCAAATGTTTGCTCATTCTCGTACGAAAAAAACAGTGACCACAGATCATACACAGCGTATGATCTGTGGTCAACGTCTCCTTCGATGCCGTAATGATGTCGCCGGACGTAAAGAACTGCCTTACAATCGTGCTTATAAAGGGCGATTTTTTTTTTAACGACTAGACATTTTTCTAAAAAGGACGTCGGAGTTACGCAATTGCGGTTTGTACCTTATCTGTAGTCATCAAAAACACCAAATCATTCATTTTTAAAGAGATGTAGTGGACGTGAAGTGGTTCACGGCGTCCTAAAAAGCCTAATTTGGACGCGAATCGTGTTACCGCAATCCTTTCGCCCACCGCACTCCTCGCCCCTTCTACAGTAGCGTTGTCACAGCGATGCGCATGATTTGTCGCTTTGGCTTCATGGCGTTAAGGCTAGCCCACATGGCGCGTTTTTCAGTGCGTCTAGACGCGCGTCTCGGCTTGGCGTGCGCGCTAAGCAGGACGTGTGCGCCCAGTCAAACCACACGCAGCGCTACCGTGCAGCGCTTCGCGTCTGCGTTTCCGAAGCGTCTGCCCAACGTAGCCAGACGCGCTTAAGAAACAAAAGCAAATATTAAATCAAAATCGCGCGGTAAATGATGACTACATGCCGTAATATTTAATTTTAGTAATAGTAAGCACTCATTTTTATTACAGAAATCGCAATGAAGCTCAATTTCACTAATTTTCATCCTTTTTAGTACGTACGCCTCATCCACGTTTCGATACGCCATTGGCATCACCATCGCCCGCGCCAAAACATTTACAGCTGGCCGCAGGCCGCTACAGAGGTTATGTTGTTGCGGTTGTTGCCGGTAGTATTAATTTTGTACCTTTGTCTCTCGGTGTCCTTGTATTCTTTACATTTGGCCTGCCAGAGTGCAGGACGCTTTTGTATTTCGCTAGGTCCTCTCTGTTCCGCTGAAGCAGCGTCAGCCTCCCGCGGAGCAGAGAGGATTCCCTGGAATTGTGTAAAAGGTATGATAAACTGATATCCGCGGGGGGAAGGACGTAACTACCCATGTTCGCCCTGCTGCTAGCGTTGGCGGGGCCTAAAAGCCGTGCAAATTTTGTAAACTCCGCGCGCGCGGGTGTGTGTGTGTGTGCGTGCGCGCGTGCGCTCTGCCTTGGAATGGCACAGGGCTGCTACCCGTTTTTGTGTGTGTACCGTTCTGTTTTGAGTGTTTTTATTTATTTTCCTTTCCTGTATCCCTTTCCCTACTTGGCGGCGGGCTAGCAGGCCCACCTGCGTAAGGGTCTCAACCTTTTTGCCTAGCCTCGCACGCTGCCGAGTGAGTATCGCAATATGTGCAAATAAGAAGTATTATTATTATTATTATTATTATCGCCTTTGTCGCGAGGTCCGTGGCGAAAACTACAGTCCTACAGTGGAGAAAATTCAAACGCTCCTTGCGACTAGTGAAAACGGCCGTTCATTGGTTGTTGCCTTCTGGACGCAGCGCGAGACGCGACGCGTGGACGCAAAATATCTGGCTCCTCCAGATACGCCGGAATGCGCCAAAAAACGCTGCGTTTCGTCCCGGCGCCGGAGGTGACGTCAAAGCGCAGGCGCAGACGCGACGCAGACGCGGAGAAAAGCGCACCATGTGGGCTAGCCTTTAGGCTGTGCCACGCGGAGATGGAGCCCACATAAAATCAGAACTATTTTTTCGCGCCAAAATTAGGAGGACGCCGTATAATAGTGTACGCGCGTTATATCTTTTTAAGAATGGACGGTTTGGTGGCTTGCGATTATGGCCAACAACTTTCTAAATACAAGATGCCGTTTTCTTTTCTAATTAAAAGGTTAATTAGCGAATTTTAGGCAATCGGTCGGTTTTAGTTGCGTTCGTTATTGAACCTAATCCTCACCTAGCCGTATAGCTCACCTACACAAACCGCAATAGCGCTAATTTTCACTGGACAATTTGGTGGCTTTCGATTACGCCCAAGAACTTTATAAATCAACTATCCCGTTCTCTTTTATAATCAAAAAGTTCATTAACAAATGTTAGGTAATCAGTCGGATTTTGTTGCGTTCTTTCTTGAACCCAATCTTCGCCTGGCCGTATATAGCTCACATCCACAAAACGTTAATTTCCACGTTTTTTCTAATATCTAGTAAGTAAAAAAACAAAACAAAAAAAAAACGTTGTATATAAAACAGAAGGCAGTTCTTTTCTGATATAAATAAAGCGTGGGGCACCGCGTCTTGCATGCATCTTTTTTTTTTTTTCCGGCCTATGAAAACAAATCCCGGGACATTCGAAATT